GTATTTTGTCCCTTTCTGCACAGCGAGGACCTACTGCTCTTCCTCCAGAATTACACCTCGTGCTTCAGCATTTTCTCTTAGCTGCTTTTTTCACGCTGTTTTTCCTGAAGGGAATTGGAAGCTGTGTTTTGCTCCCTTGGAATTTGAGACCCCTTGATTTGTAGCATAGCTGGTGTTTCTGACCATGCTGATGGTCATTCTCTTCAGAGCTGATCCACCTCTGGCAAGCAGCCTGAGCTTGCGTAAGATTCCCCATGCATCCTGCTGTTTGAGGGCTTTGAATCCTTTTTCCTCCTTTCTCTTTATATATAATGGGTAACACAGTTGAAATGACAGGCTATTTCTCATCAATGTCAATCAAGACAGAAAATCCACTGACTGCATAAAGGTTATTGAAACCTATTTTGTCCTTTGGTTTTCTTTCTAGTCCTTAATGTATTTTTAGCCTGACTTTTCTTCTCTGTTCAAGTAGGTTGTTTTCCACCCTCTCCGACAAGAGAGCTTTTGAACCTATGGACAAGTTTCAACCAAATATGACAGAGGTCTAGGTTCTTAAAAGATACTGAGTTTCTATGAACTTAATGGAAAATTTATGGACAGAAAGAGGAGAGGGACCCATCTAGTGTCCTCCCAAGGAGAAAGCTGTACCACCAGTTCAGCTGTGTTCTCTGCCAGAATATCACTCTCCCCTTATTTAAAGTAAAACCTTTGGTCAGAGCCTGCACCTTCTTAGATGCAGGATAATCAACCACAAAGCTACAGGAAACCAGCTTTATAACGTCTCTTCCTCACAGCATTAATTGTTTTGGTATTTTGCATTTTTATTTCTGCTTGACTTTTTCTGAACTTGTGGGTGAGGAGTTTATTGACATAACTTTCCTTTTAGTATTTACAACAAAGCCCTTTCAGATGTTCTCTGGTTATAGCTCTGTTTCCCTATAGCAGCCTTCTCTCTTAAAAGCTGAACTCTGACACAGCTTCTGATCTTAATCCTTCACTATTTCTTTTAATTTTCTAGCCTAGAAAGTATCTGAATTTATAGTGGGCAGATGAAGTATAGAAACCAAATCACAACTTCCAGATCATCTTGGCATCCTAAAGAACAATGAGGCAGAAACACAACTTTTCTTTTCCTCCTAGATTTGCTTTAACTCTCTCCTCAGCCAAAAAGATTAAACCTCAGTGAAATTGTACTCAAGTGTGAGCTTTGGTAGATTCAGATGTTGAGAATCACATCACTTCCTACAGTGTTTCTGTGAGTAACGCTTTCTGCTTGCGCTCATTTTACAGCAGCGGCTGCCTCTTTTTTCCCTCTGGCCTTGGAAAATAGTCCTGGTAGGCTAGTTAAACATCAGGTTAGAATTTGTGTCTAAATGCAGGCATGTGCAAGGGTTTGTATGGACTCTAGGCTGGGTAGTATAGCTAATAACATTCACCTTGCGTGCACTTAGAGCCCTCGTCCGAGAAGTCTTTCAGACTTGGCTACGATGCATGCTAGAAATCGGGTGGTACTTTCACAAAGTGGTGGCGTGCCCACTTCATAAGAAGCCAGCCTTTCGATAATCATGGGGTGTCTTCCCAATATTCCCGTAATATGCCCAAAAGGACCGATAAAAATCATGAAGTGGTTCAATACATTAAAAAGCCACGGGATTTCCCCTTGAAGACCTGCTGACATACTGGAGCTAGCCCTCCACCGCACGAAGAGTGCGAGGACTTGAAACATCACTGCCTGTGCTTGGTCTGGGCTAACCCAGCTTCTGATAGTCTTGGTGGTTTTGGCAAGCTAGAGCAAGTCCAGAAAACCAACAAATAATTCACCATTGCTGGTTTTCTAAACACAGCAGAAAACTGTCAAAAGCAGCCTGTTAAGACTCAAAGCCTTGACGGCGTGCTGATGCTATCTGTATGCTGCTTTATCTTTTCAAGACAAAAGTATTTCCAGTTAATATAATGGATGTAGCAAAACATACTTTTTATGCTGGCTGAGGTAGAAGGTGAAGTTTCTGATACTGTTAACTCTTGAGCACAACATGGCAGAGTAGCAGAAAAGTAGCTTTTGAAGTAAGTCATGTTGAAATGCCTTGGTTTTGCATGCATTGTGAAATTGTTAAAGATATCGTGAAATACAGGAAGACAGTGCTTTGTGCACAGAAATGCTAATTTTACTGTGAGAACTGTAGTCTTTGATTTCCCTTGTGATTTCTTTTTTAAAGAGAAGTGGTTATGTTACTTTTTAATACTCATTTTAATATAGAATATGGTTGCATTTACATTCACTTCAGCTTTAGTTGCATTTCAATGTATTTCTATTCAGCCTATTTTAGTCTTAAGCTGAAAAAGTACAAAAGAGTCTTTTTGCTTTTATTTTCTTAGCTTCTTTCACTTCTAACTTACTATGTACAAAATATATATTTAGCTGCCTGCATTGCCTCATTCACTGTGTGTCTCTGTTAAAGAATTCTAAGGACTAGTAGTAGTTTAATGACCTGCTAAACAGTAGTTCAAGGCAGGAATAATTTGTCAAAAACCAGGAGAAAATTAATCATTACTTCGCTAAAGCCTCTCTGCTGTGCCTGTATTTGGCCTAGCAAGCTAAACAGGAATCACTGATTTGGATCCTTATTGTGACCCCGAAAGCTGTCACCCTCTTGTTCCCCTCCGTGCAGTTGTGCTGGGAGGTGGTTTTGGCCAAGTGCTAGTTAAGTTTTTACTATGTGGGTTACAAAATCAGCTGGCTGCTCAGTTCTCACTGGGGACGTGGATACTCAAAGAGATTACAAAATTGTGTTTGAAAGCACGGGCACAAAATAAATAATCCTCTGAGTATTTGTTTCACTGGCTTGATTGTGTGAAAAGAATGAAAATTCAAGGTAGTGAGATGAGAATACCAAGTCTGCTTCCCCTGCCAGTTCTCTGAAATGTGGTAAGGCTCATTTTAACCTTCTTCCATTTCCCTGGAGTAGCATAGGTGGTAAGAGAAGTCTGAATCATTACAGGTGCTTTTTCAGTTTCTCTTGAACACAGTGTAACTGAACTATGCTAACTGGAATCTGTGCTGTGAAAACAAGCTGCTGTAGTGTTAAGACAGAAGCAGATGAAGTTTGGAGTCGAAGCCTCATGCATGTTGCCGTTAAATGGGATAAAAATTGTCAGACAGGTGCAAATCAGTGTGGTTTTGACTGCTGTGGGGGGGAATGCCATGCAAAATCCGTGTTAATATTTCTGTCGCTTAGTAACCCTGACCTCAGGGGTTATCTGAAAGGGGCTCAGAGTGGAATTTTGTTCATTTCCTGAGAGCTCTGCAGAAGCAGCGCCATCCAAGTGCCCCTTTTTCAGAAGTCAAGTTAACAGAGACAGGCATGCTTGTATTGTGGGAAATACTGATAATTTTCCTGGGCAACTGGGTTTAATTTAACTGTATTCTCTATAGGGATTGCAAGTGTGAAATGCTCCTATGGTACCTTGTAGTGCATGTGACCTGTTTATGTGCTCCAAGGTTATTGAGAAATAACACTTCAAGCCCTGGATAGCAGTAACTGGAGTCTGTTCCAAGTTGTCTAATTGCTGGACTGAGTTAGGGCTGGTTTCAGGGAGAGCTTAGTGGCACTGGTGCGTTAACTCTTCTGTTTCTGAGCCCCATTCCTTAGTCACCAGCATATAAACTTTGGTGGTGGTTTGGACCAGTTTTCTCTGATGCCCCTTGCTGAATTTGTATTGAAAATTTAATCCATCTTGAGGAAAGGAAATCATGCTTAAAACAAAATGAGGCAATGTGCCCTACAGCAACTGGTGCGCAAGCAGGCAGTTTAGGTGGTTGGATGTTATTGATGCTTCTAGGTGCCTTAACTAAGATTGGTTAAATGCTTTCCCAAATGCAGTAAGGTTGTTGAAATAGGGTCTGTAAAGGCACAGAAGCGTGTGTGTTTGGGGACCAGGAGACAGAACTGGAGGCTGGGAAGAGCATGTGACTTCTGGGTGTCTGGGTAAGTTTAGGATAGGACCCAGATCTTCTGGTTCTGAGAGCTTTATCCACTAGTTTGGTGCCATTCAAATGGCAGGCTTTGGTCTAGGTGGACTGGCTAAATTTTTGTGGTTCTAGAGTGCCCTCTGCTTCTGCAGGGTTTCCATAGTTCTCACCGTTCTGGTCACTTCAGAAATAGCCATGGCGTGCTGCTTCAGGTCCCCATGAAGAGATGAGCACTTGCCAGGGCTGGAGCTGATGTGTCGCTTCCATCAGAGCTTCCAGTAGACTTGGATAAAAATTGACTAGCCCTGAACTGTATCATACCTAATGCCTTTTTTAAAACACAATACCGAAAATGTCAAGTTTGAGCTACAGAGTATCTCCTCCTTAGAAATACCAAATTCTTTGCTGAAAGTCTTTAACGTCTCTGATGTTTTCACTTACTCCCAAACACAATCCTGAGTGAAATCAGAAGTGTCACAACAGTAATGATGTTGCAGCAAATTCTGGATTGCTAGAAATGTACAGCAGGTGAGCTTATGAGGGACAGATGCCCCTATTTCAGTGCCAAATGTCCCTAGAGATAGTAGAAAAGAAGGAAAGAATTTGAGACAAAATATTGTGAAAGGTAGTGTAGGAGTAGTTGCCTCATTTCAGAGAATTTTAATCCAGAATTTTGATCAGAAAGTAGTAATTGGTGACACTTAACCCAAAATACATAAGTGCTGACACGAATGTCTTTGTAGCTTGCTGAAATTACTGCGTGCTTTGCTTTGAAAATCTACCTGAAAGAAATTCTGGAAACATTTAGTTGCCTGATGAACAAATCTGTATTTGATTCTTCTTTCAGTCTGGCTCTTTTGATGCTGCCAGAGATTAAATTAAACTATGTGCTAGTGTCTTTGGTTTTGTTCCAGTCATATAAAATTTTCTACTATAAAATTTTCATTCCCCAAAATATGCTAATGAAGCTTTGACTTGACATGTACGGCTACTGATTTGACTGTTGTTTTCTTTTCTTTCAGCTTTGCAGTGTATGGATGATTCCAAGCCATGTGTTAATGAGGGAAAGTGCATTCCATATAAAAATGGTACAGGATATTGCAAGTAAGTTGGTTTCATTTCTAATCAATTTAATTACTAATCTTCTTTCATTCAGGAAGAATGAAAGGAAGTGTGAATTGTTAAGATTTTCTTATCGGGTGCATTAAGTGTAACGGTTTTAGCACAGTTGGTGTTTCTTGATAATGCATTAGTTCTTCTGCGCTAGCTTTTTGTAACGTAAGAAATCTGGAGTTCTTTTTCAGATTTTCAGGTTTGGATCTTGTCGGTTTGATTTCTTTGCATGAGGTTAGGAAGCAAGGCCAAAGTGATCATAGAGGTAAACTCTGTACCTTGCTTCCAGACCCACAAGTTAAGTTGGAACTTGCTCTCCATCTTATAGCTTGCCTTACTTCATAGCGCTTCAGCCCCAATTTGAATATTTTTATTTTTTTTTTCAGAACTACTCTGCACTCTGAAGTGTGCCAGTTCCCTTCCACATGCTGGAGAGCAAGTAATATGTGGGAGTTGTAAAAACAAACTAACAAAAAACCCCAAACAAACACCCACGTTTGTCTTTATTGCATAATTGATTTTGGTAAATGTTGACACCCATCTTTAATGGTGCCTTCACTTTGTTGCTGCGTGGAAAGCTGGTCAGCGGGAACTTTGGCGGTGTGTGTGGTGTCTGGAGAATGATATCACATCTATTTAAATGCAGTTCACCTTTCAAACGGCAGTATTTAGATTTTCTTTAAATGAAGTGATATTTTGCAAAACGATAAATCCTCCTTGTTTGGCAGGATTAACTTACTACGTCTGCAGTAAATGGATTATTTTCTAAACCTCGTTTGCTTCATCAGTGCAAGCTGTGCCATTTTCTAGCATGCTAAATCCCTCTTTCCTTACTGCTAACGTTCTTTAAATATTAGTGAATTTTGTCTTGTTGATTTAGCTGGGCTAACACACAGCTCTGCTCTTCACCCTTTTGTACACATCCATCTTCCCTAGCCACAACTTTTAGTTCTTTCTGTTAATGTGGTACATAAAACTTGATATACTTAAATTGCACCTGTGGCACACAAAGGGGAAATCATAATCTAATTTGAGGTTCTTCTCAGTTTCAAATCAATACCTGGTGTGCAGAAAGGCCATAGAAAGGCAAATATGTAACTTGTTATTCCCTGTTGGTTTTTTCAAATTTTTAACTGTTACTGCTTCCTAGTCTTTTCCTTTCCGTGGCTTTATATTGCTGTCAACAGAAACAAGCTGCTCTTCTGAAAAGAAAGCTGGAACTTTTCCTGCTTTTCACCTGTATTTTAAGACTGAAACAAGAAATTGTGTGATATTAGTAGGTCTTTCTGATGCGTACTTAAGCATGTTAGTCTGGAGCCAAAGTATGTGGGTCACAATGAAGGTAATAAACAAGGGTGGTATTGATGTTGGTGCCGCTTGTACCTCCCTAAGGATGTTTTCTCCAACTTGCATGTTCCTCTTAACCATGACTTAGACTGTTTAAAAAAAAAAAAAAAATTATTTGGTTCATCTGATTAACTTCCATTCAATATTTGTAGTGCAGTCCAGATCTTGACACATTTCCCTTATCACAGTGGCAGCTTTGACCACTCTTACATTTTTTTAGCGCACAGAGTTATTTATAATTTTAATGTTGCCTTCTTCCTTTTGGTGCAGTCTTCTTCCAAGTCTTAAGCCAGCCCCTCCTTCAAGTAACAGCTTGGTCCCTTTGCAGGTGCCAGAGTAACTGGAAAGGCTAATAGAGGCCTGTATACAGAGATTAGTATGTGTCTGTTTTCTAGATCTGGCTTAAGAACTCTTTTTTGCAGAAAGGAAGGAAAAAATAGCAAAAACCCCTCAATTGTGGAGACTCTACCTTTAGCAGGCTGATTCTTAGCATCCTGTTCTGGTTTTAATTTTTTTTTTCTTTCCTGCACTATGAGGAACTCTGAATAGGGGAACTTTCTATCTGGTGTAGTAACCTAAATGACTTTCTGAATTTTTGATGGCTCTAAGAGTAGAAATACTTTGTTCAGGAAACTGAACTTATTACTAAAGCAAGTGGCTTGGCTTCTAGCTCTGCAGGATCACTCACTGATGAGCTAAATCTCCACCCCTTCCACTTTCTTCAAGTTTTCTGCAGTACTTCCTCTGCTGGGCAATAAGTTATTACAATGGGCTCTCTTCCTCTTTCTGTACCTCCTCTCTGCCAAGTTGTTTGTTCTAGTGTGTGGTTGGTCCATCTAGTTAATCTTGCTGTCTGTAAGAAACAGGCAAACAGCTGAGGAAGAACCTGCATCAGAGGTAATCATATGTGATGAATAAGACATGAGTAACGTAAGCACTGGTAAGCAAAGCATCTAGTCTAGATATTTGGCAAAGCAGCAAGTGACAGCTTAGTGCTGAAACAGCTTTCTTTGTCAGAAAATCCTGTAGCATCTACTCCATTAAAACAGAAAGCTAGTTTTCTGCTAAGAAACCTTTATTCTGGTGCATCTGGCTTCTGTTATGGGAATAGCGATTGTGACCCTTGTAAGGAAATCGGAGTTGGATCTTTATCAGATTGCTCTTGCAAGTGCCCTTTAAGTAGCTCCGTTCCCCTGGTGACGCTGCTGGCCCATGGCTGTCATTTTGTGGCACTGTTTGATAGAATTACTGACCTTCTTTGACCTGGATTTTATATTTGGAAAATTACACGTTCCTGTGTTTGCATCTTCCAAGGTCAGAATTTTTGTTTGAGAGGTCTTTCTACACCCATTCACTGACTAGCACGGTGAGGACGCAGACCTTATTCCAAGGAATATGGCTGTATCTGCAGTAGCAGTATGAAGGGGACCTGTCATTCCAAGCTTTCTGGGTCCTGCTTTGACAAAAGACAGTTTCAGTTTGGGGTTTGGCTTTGCGTTGCACTGTGGTGGGCTTTGTTGTTTTTGTTGTGGGTTCCCTCCTGCCCCCAAAGCACCTCCAGGCAGCCTTTTGCACATTGAGGTGTTAAGCATGAAGGAGCCTTCTTGCATACTCTCATATCCAGCAAAGTAGCAGGATAACAAGTTGCTTGTTGCTTAATGCTAATGTTGAACGTCACAGGAAAACCCTTTCTCATCTCCCTGCTGCTAGATGACTGGGAAAGTAGTAGTAGGAAGAGTCTGGGGGATAGTACTGGTAACTTGCAGTATTTCTGCAGTTGCAGGCAGGCGGAGAAGGTGTGGGTACAGGGAGCTGTTTCAAGGACAAGAAGTGCAGAGATTTTGGCAACGCTGCCCGCTGTTTTCTGAGCACAAGAGTCTGCCCTGCTGCAGGTGGATGCAGGACTGGGCAGTCCCTCTGTGCTTGGAGTGGGGCAGGGCCCTGAAGCAGAGAGTATCTTGACTGGTTTCCCCATGTTTGGCAGCTGCGGCCTCTCCCGACTTCCCTCCCCTGTGCCCCAGTGACAGGGAGCAGAAGCAAGACTGTGCCAGGGAGAGAAGCAGAAGTGAGAAGGAAGGGAGTTCGGGTAGGGGTGCTCCAAGGTTTAGCGAGGAAACTGGGCCTCGCTACTCCTCATGCTTTGTAGGGTTTTAAGATTGGATTTTGACCTTAGGACTGTTGTACACTGCGTGCCCGGAAGGGATATCAGTACCTCTGTATGAACCAAAGTACTGCTTTAACTCTAGTGTCTTTTGTTGGGTCCTGATGGTGAAAAAAAAAAAGTACAGTGGCAACCATGGCTTGTTTCCTGTGCTTAGTCAAAAGTGGAGACTGCTGAAGTTGGCTGATTCCAAAAGGACAGTCTCCTTCAGCACATCCTTTCATGCCCAAAGCTGTCAGGATCTGTGCAGCTTTGTGTGCTTCTGTGCCTCTTCAGTGATCAGTGTTTTTCTCACCATGTGCAGAAGTTTGTGCATACTTTCACATTGCATGATACAGTTTTTACCTCTTGTCTGCAGGGTGGCAACAGGAGGACCTCAAAGCGTGCTAAAGTCAAAGCAGCAATAGCATGGCAGTAAAGGGCTTTTATCCTAATTCCAACCCCCAGTAACTCTAACCCCCTTGCCAGGTTTTTGACCTACCTTTCTTTCCAGCTGGATCTTCATAAATGAATTTTAACTCAAATTTAAGAGGATTTCTGGGGCTGAAGGCAAGATCCTAGACTGCAGAACTGCTTCCAAGACTGCAGCAGATATCTTCTCAGGATCTGTCTCAATAGACTAATCACTCCTAGACCAGTGAATGGGGAATACCCACAGGAGACCTTGTAGCAGGATGAGGTCTGAGAGTTTTCCAGAAGAGGCTAAATGCAAAAGTTGAAAAGTTGTCCCTTTCTGAGAATGGGCTGCCCTTTCCTGTTTCCTTCTGTCTCCTTTCAGAAGTTAAAGGAGACCCTTGAGACCAGGGCAGAGGAAAAAAGGGAGAGTACACACCCTTTTAGCTTCAAATCTGGGAACAAAGTGGTGATTTGAGTCACTCAGTCAAAATTTTCTATTGTGATTTACCTGTGTAGACCAAAAGCTGTTCAGAACTCTGATGGTCAGAAAAAGCTGAACTAAACCTTGCCCGTTCAGACTTTGGTTGCTGTTACTCCTTGGTATACTGCGGAGTGGTATACTGTAGAAGTGTTTTCTGTTTCTGACTAGAAACAATAGCTGTGTACTGCTTTAAACGCAGAACAGAGAGGCCGTCCCATCCCATAGTTTGCATTCAAAGTATGACGCATAAATGGGAGCCTTGAGACATGGGAAGGAGCGTTTGTAAAGCTAACCAGAGAATCCTGTTCTCCCTCCTGAGAGGAGGTGTAGGTGTGGGAGGCAGAACCCGGGAGCCAGAGGGAAGTCTGGTTAAAATCTGTAGCAGAATAGCTGAGACCCTTCTCACGTTAGTCATCAGACTGCGTTTTTTTTCCCCCTCCTCTGTTGAAGCATCTTCCAATCAAAGTGAAGGGAGTGTTGGGCTGAGGGGGGGAGAAGCAAGACTACTAGGAAATTCTTCCCTTCGCGTTTTAAATTAAAACCATCTGCTTCCTTCTGTGCATCTCCAGATGATATCACTGGGCCTGAATAGGAAACTCCCATGAA